GCCTTCCTGGATCATCTGAGCTCTGGGAGCATCCCTGATGTGTGCTCAGAGCCCAGAGGTGGCAGAGGAAGAGATATCGGAGGGATCCGGAGCCCCACAGAGCACGGAGTTGAGTGTCCCGCAGCCAGGAAGGATGCTCAGACCCCAAAGGACACCGAGGAAGAGATGTCAGAGGGACCCTGAGCCCTGCGAGATGTCAGAGGGACCTGGAGCTCTGCAGTGCTTGGGCACGAGTTTGGTGGGAGCTCCAGGAGCACAGGGAATGCTGCTGCACCCGGCAGACCCCGGCTAGAGCTTGAGTGCTGTGACACGGGGGATGTGGAAGGGACAGGTCTCCTCTGACCCTGTAGAGCTGCAGAAGGAGAAGAAGACATCATCAGGGGACCAAGGAGGAGCCCACATCTCCCTCCCTGCAGCCTCCCACCCCATGTCCAGCACCTACATGAGCCGGTTGCGGATGGGTCGGAAGTGTTTCGTGAGCCTGATGGCGAAGATGATGTTGGGGATGAGGAAGAAGGTGCAACATCCCAGGCTGAACCAGAAAGCATTCTGCAGGGAGAGAGCACGGGGGTCCCTGCTGAGCTGGGCAGCGAATGCTCTTCTCCAGGCTGAACAGCCCCAACATTCTCAGCCTGTCTCCACACTGGAGCTGCTCCAGCCCCTGGTCACCCTTGTGGCCTCCTCTGGACCCCACGTCCTTACCCTGGGGACACCAGTTATCCTTACCCAGGGGTCAGCGATGCGGTCGCACAGGATCACCCGCCCGTTGTCCAGCGCCGTGGCGAGGGGCTGGCACGAAGCCACGTCCTCCCTCAGCTGGAACAAGAAGCAGAGACACGGAATAATCCCATTCCTGGCTTCGGGAGCTGCGTTTTGCTGTCTCAGCTCAGCAAGGGGCTCCCAGCCCCAAAGAACCACCAGCAAAGGTGAGCACCTACCGTCTGCCCAACCCAGTTCAGGTACTGGGTGAAGTAGCGCAGCTCCTTCCTGGTGAAGCAGCCGATCTCCTGGGCAGAGGGAAGGCAGCGTGGAGAGCTGGAACCACGCTTCCCAGCCCTGCTCCGACCAACTCGAGGCTAATACCAGGCTTGGAAACAAGGGCTAGAAGCCTCAGGTGCCACTTCGCCTCTTGCAGCGCCCTGTTCCCACTCTTTCATTCCAGCTCCAGGGAATTTTGTACCCCCTGAGGGTAAATCCAGCCCCTGCTCACCTGCCGGAGGATCTGCTGGGCTTGCACAGGCAGCCAGGAAGCACAGGAAGGGCAAAGCATCCTTAGAGCACCCAGCAGCAGGATGGGTGCTCCGGGGGTGCCAGGAGCAGGGTTTGAACCACAGAGCTTCCACCTGGTTGTGGGATATCACGGAAAGAGGGACCTGCTCCAAGCAGAGAAAACCCCTGGCAAGGAGTGGGTGACAGGAAAGGCCATTGGATGTCTCTGTTGGGAATGCTGAAACGCCCCCAGGGGGATTTGCAGCAGGAAATCTAAGCAGCAAAGGGGATGGTGTTTTTTCCCTGGCTCTCCCATCACCCCAGCACTGGGTTCTTGGGACACTGGCATGTGGATCCCATTGGGCATCACATACATTCCGGAGCTGGATGAGACCACACAAGTACCTGGAGGTGCGGAGCCAAGCGGGACAGGAACTGGACACTCTCTCCCAGCTTCTCCTATGGGACAGGGAGGTGAGAAGGGTTCAAAAGCTCCATCACCCCTTTCACATAGACACCACTGGGCAAACACCAGCAGCACCATGAGACACCAACCCAGCACGGACTCACCACCAAAGCTTCCTGTGCTTGCACTGTGGAGTTCTCCATCTGCCACAGGGCCCGAGCCTCAGCAGCCAGGCGCCCTGCCACCGTGCTGTTCCTCTGCAGGGGGACAATGGGGTGAGCATGTTCCTATGGTCTTGAAGGCAGCTCCTGGTGCCTTCCCCACGGCTCACCTGCATTTTCTGCAGCCCCTCGAGGCTCCTCGCCAAGCCAGGCAGGCTGGGCTGCACCACCGGCTTTCCCATATGCGGGGAGACGGAGGTGGGGGGGGTGTCCCTCGAGCCTCCGCGCCAAGCCAGGCAGGCTGGTCTGCACCACCGGCTTCCTCATCTGCGGGAAGACGGAGCTGGTGGTGGATGGAATTCCAATCCTGGAAGCTGGTCCCGGCATGGCCAGGCTGTATCCTGCCCATCGCAGCCGGGACCACGAGCATCCCCTCACCTCCTCCTGGAAGCGCCCATAGTCCACCTCATCCACACCGCTGCGGGCGAAGGTCTCCAGGTCCTGCCTGCCCTCGCTGCGGAGGAGCCGCACATCGCCCAAGCGTGCTGTGAAGTCACCCAGGCGCTTTTGGAAGTCAGCCGTATACTGTGGTGGTGACATGGGGGTGGTGTTGTGGGCATGGGAGAGCCAGACCTCCCCCAAGTAACCCCGATTTACATCCCTGTGCCATCCCCATAAGCTCTGGCTGGAGCCAGCCCTCACCTTGGGGGTTTTTAGATGCTCATCCAAGTCGTAAGACCTGTCGAGCTGCAGCACCTCCCACAGCCCCGCGCCGCTCTTGCACTCCCTGGAAGACAAAGGGATGTGACCCCAAATCAGCCCTCCCCATGTGGAAGGGCAGAAGGGAGCTCCTGTGGTACCCACCGGTACACGGCGCTGAGGTTGGAGTCCCTCCTGAGGTTAAGCTGGTGGGTGAGGTTCATGGATGGAGGCAGGTTCCCGGGGGTGTCGATGAACTGGGATAAACAGGAGGAAAAAGAGGGTCCTGGATGTGATTTTTGGGGTGCTCTGCGCTCACAGTTGCATGCTGGGGTAACCCCATCCTAGCCAGAGCTGGTCTTGCTGTAATCCATATGATCTCCAGAGCCTCACCGGGTGGCATTCAGAGGGAAAGCAGAGGATGGCCCCATGCAAGGACATGCCTCCATGTGTAAAGCCATGGGGCAAACCCTGATCCCGTTCCCAACCCCTCTCTCAGCCCTATCACAGCCAGCCCAAAGAACTCTCCCGATCCCCAGGGACCAGGCGACGGGGTCCTGCAGGTAGGAGCATCATCGCCTCGAGTGAATGAACAGCACAAGGGCAATTTCCTGCTGCTGATGGAAATCTGAGGACCTAATCCTAACCTTAATCTGCTGGGTGGGGTGGGGCTTTGCTGGATGGATTTAGAGGGAGGACACAGAGCATTTGGAGGCATTTCAGGGCATGCAAACAGGGATTTATGGGGCGATGGGTGGATCATAGAATCATGGAATGGTTTGTGTTGGAAAGGACCTTAAAGCTCATCCAGCTCCAAGCCCTGCCCCGGGCAGGGACACCTTCCACTAGAGCAGGTTGCTCCAAGCCCCTGTGTCCAACCTGGCCTTGAACACTGGGCAGCCACAGCGTCTCTGGGCACCCGGTGCCAGCGCCTCAGCACCCTCACAGGGAAGAGCTTCTGCCTTGTATCTAACCTGAACTTGCACTGTTTCAGTTTGAACCCATCACCCCTTGCCCTACCTCTAGGACATTTATGCATGGCCACCCACCTTATAAATCTCCTGGTTGACCCAATTCCTGCAAACCAGCGTCTGGATGTTGCCCCCAACCAGGAAGGTGGCGAAAACCAGGAGGATGAGGAGCCAGGAGAACAGGAAAGCCAGGCCCACGCCACTGAAAGAGGGAGAGGAGGCGCCGCCGGCGGCTTTACAGACCCAAGTGGGCAGAAAGGCTTGTG